AACAATTACCGTTACCATGGTATCCTCCTTTTAATGTCAGCTTGTAGTTTTTGACACTTTTTGTTTTGTTTTTCCAAATTATTAAATCCTTAAGTTTAATAGCTTGAAAACATATAGTCTAAAGTGTGTCATAAGTGAAGCCCTTTTGATTGAAAAAGAATTATTAAAAAATATACTGTTATTACTGACATCCTACTGTAAGTGATTACGTTTTATTACACTTGACATCTCACCAGAGGACAGATGCGCTGGACGGCGGCGAGGAGTGCACGTTGACGGAGCAGGTCAGCGAGATGGTGCTGCCTTTCTTCACGTAGACGTCCTGCGAGCCCCAGATGGTCGCCGCCGCCGCTGCGACATTATACACGACTCACGCAAACAAAACAAGCAACATAACATAAACACGAAATATCAAAATTAAGTACTGAAGCACCCACGATATCACTGTGTGTTGATTAACGATTGCTTGGTTTAATACCTAAAGATTTTTTTACAGCTATCAAAATAATGAACCTAAGTCAACAAGAATGCCAGCTATCTGCTAGTGGTGTCTTTATTTAGACGAGAATTAAACACGTTTCGTCGTGAAATTTCTAACAAAATAAAACAAACAATGAACAACTTCGTGGTTTACGTATCAACTTATTTTTAGGAAGCGATCAATCGTCCCGGTGAACGAAATTGGTCACTAAATTCAGATAAACCGCATTAAGTCAATTTACTTAGGTTTAATTGAATTTAGTACGGTTGCGTTGTGGACGGAGGTCCGGAATATATGGGCCCTTACTAATTGTAGCTTTACTTATTTATCATTATAGTGTTTAGATATTTGTGTGTAGATATTTTTGGATTCGTTAACTAAATCTTTATTTTTTTAATGTATTTACCCCGGAGATAGTCTCAGTTAAAATTAATATGTGTCGATTCAACACGTCATATGTCACAAGACAAAAAACAATGTAAAGAATAAATGCATCTGCAATAAAGCGATAAACCAGGAGCACATATTAATGCAAAAAGAAAAGTAGTAGACAGTGAAGTGGGAATCAACAGGCTTGAAATATGAAGACTAGTGAATGAAGAAACATATAGGAATGGAGAGTACCTGAGGATCGGGGCGGAGACGGGCTCGCGGGGGTGTGGGACTCATCTGGAATTCACAAGACAATAGCTTAGGAGAGGAGACGAGGAATACAAACTAGCAGCAGCGCTGACGGCGCAGACGACGCCGCGCGCCGCAAATAGAATTGCGAAGACGGAAGTGCTATAATTTGATTTATGACAGCATCTTAATAAATCATTCGCATTGTCACTCTGTTTCTTTGTGTCCAACAAAAGGCAACAAAAATAGCAACATAATTATCAAAGTGTAATAATCGAGTCTATTATTTGAAAGTCTTTGGTAACCAAAACTTTTTTTTTAAACGCTAGCTGTTGCTCGCGACTTTGTTCACGTGAAATTTGAAATTATAGCCTATGTTACTCGGCGATAACGTAGCCTTTTAATGGTGAAGGAATTTTTAAAATCGACCCAGTCCAGTAGCCTTTGAGTTATTTTAATACATTAAAAATACAAATCTATCCTCTTTGTACTATTAGTAAATTCTATGTTTTTTTTTTAAATAGTTAATATATAAATTCGAATGAAATGCCAAAGATAATAATGTTCAATTTTTATAATTCAATAAGTTTTAGTGTGAATTTTAAAACACAATTAACTCGGCTTAATCATGCAGTAAATTAGTTTTATAAAGCCATTAAGCTACTAAAATATTTCAAACTGTTCAGCGAAACGTGAAAACAAAAAACAACAGTTAAAAATAAAATAGAACAAGTTAATTTTTAACTTTATAGTTAAGTAAATTTCATTTATATTTCAGTTTGAAAATAAGGCATAAAAGATGAAGCGAAAGTTTTTCTATTAATTAACGCAATTAAAGCTGATACGGCTGTTTAGAAAGTGTCTAGACTTAATGTTATTATAGCTCTGTAACTTGATAACTTAATCTCATCGAAACATTTACATGCAAAAAAGCCACGGTATAAATTACATTTCCAACTTTGTTAATATTTGAAGACGATGTAATAAAAGAGTAATACGACTAAAAATAGAATTTAAAATTTATTTTTATAGCGTGGTTAATAAAGTATTTAAGTATTTAAACTAATCAAATCTATGTATAAGGTTAGAGTAAAAACCCAATTTGTATTTAAAATATAAGAAAACATTTGTATTAACATTAAAAACATTTTGGGTAATGTGAAAGCGACTGAATAGTTGTCGGACGATTTATAGGTATCATATGAAATGTGCATATATCGTGCTTTTGTTGGACATTTTTCAGCGTAACAAGCGCTGTAATTGGCACAGAGTAGAATTTGAGATACATCAAGCGCTGGAGCGTGCTGACAGATTGCTGTAACGTTACTACTCGGGAGGACGATGAAGAGTTATGTATTTTTATTGCATATTTATTGTGTGTCGATATAAAATAAATTTTAGTACAAGCTAACAACAAAAATCAGACTTAACAAGATAATAAAATAGATAGATATAAAAGAATTCGAATCCGTTATTAGACCATGAAAACAATTGTGTAATTAAAATGAGTGATTATTTAGTCCTATGTTTCAAAAAATACCTAATCTACCTTCTGTGAAGTTTGATTTAGTGGTTACAATTATGTATTAAAATGAGGACGAGCTATAAATAATCATCGGAGCAGAAGAAATTACAAAAGGATGAGGCAATTGCGTGAAACTTGAAAGTTTAATCCGTTATTCGACTCAGTTACTAAGTTACTGAGATATAACTTTACTGAACGTCCTTCTCGGCCCAAACTTTCATTATTAATCCAAATTGAGACTATACATTCCGCAGATTATTTCTCTATGTGCTTAGATTTTACAATATCTATATTAACAATGTTTAATGTAAGTATAATATATGCTGTTTCAAATTTTTGATTTCTATGTATTTAATCGTTAATCAACTAAACATCTTATACATTGAATAGCTACAAATGTTTTATACCGATATTATAATTTTTATTGTTAATTTTAATGCTACTAATGTTTTTGCTTCCTTCTTTGTAGATAACATCAGTTACCGAAACCTTTGTTCTTAAAGTCTTGCGTACCTTCAGTGCGTCCTAAGATACGCTTCACTTGATCTCAAAATTAAGATTGAAACATCAAAATTTCCATGGTCAAAAGTTCCTTTGAACACCCTTTGAATTTACTTTGATATTTTCGCATGAATTATAATGTGCGTCATGATTTTAAAAGACCTGATCTTGGATACTCCTGAGACAAGATTTGCCTTTAAGATGCCGTTAAATTATTCACTTTATCGAGCATTTCTGCGGCCTTTTGTGAGGTCACGTCTTGTTTATTAAATTTTAAAGCGTCAATTTTAGGCGTAAACATTTCTAGTAGCAATTTACAAGTTCAAAGCGAAATGTGTAAACACGGCTTAGAATTATTGTGAATAAACTAATTCGGTATTGTTCTTGATATGACAATATTACCGACTAACCTAATTAGTGGTTCAAACTATAAGTAAAAGCGCGTCAACTTAAATTACTGCTGCGGATATTCAAGGATTTAAAAAAATGTTAGATAAATGTTGCTTCTAACTCGAATACCCCTTTAAGTAAATTGCTTTTGTCTTACATAATTATATTAACCAAGAAACATTTTATATAGCCTAAGCTTTATCTTTGTAAGCTTGCTGAGGATATCCTCGACAGGCTAAACTCGTCATAATTTATTAAGTAATATTTCCAACCGAAATATATTCGCTGCACGCGTCACTAGCTCACTAGTCGCAGTCGGCAATAGTCGGCAATAGTCGGCCGCAGTCGGCCGCAGTCGGCCGCACTCGGTTCTGACTGAGAGTAATGGCAGGCGCTTTGTATCGCAGCATTAGCTGCTTCTTATAATATGACGGCAGACGAATGCGAGATTACGTACACACATTTCCTCGGAGCCTTATAAAAATAACTCGTATGACGCAAGCTATCCGTAAACTAAAGCCGGAAGAGTTAGGAAAGACGGAATATAAATCGGAAGTATGCGGTCTTGCGGTAGATCCATGAACACGGAATGTCAAACTTTTGTACGTGATACTTCGACGCATTGAATCATTTATAAACTGCTATTATTTGAACCTAGAATGTCGAGATAAAACACTACTCCTTTGGCTTTAACTGTGGTTATATAACATCGTCTTAACTGTTAGTTTGTCTGTTTAGTGTTTAACTAAGTAATGCACCTTCAACATGAAGCACGACGGCCATGTTGATCTTGGGCTCGGTGTTGATCTGGCACTCGTAGACGCCGGCGTCGCGCGGCTGCACGTACTCCACCTTGAGGTCCCAGTCGTCGGAGGGCTCGGGGTGCAGCACGCTGAACCGCGCGTCCCCCGTGTACGTGAAGATGTGTGACGTCAGGATGTGTAAATCTCGCTTTCTCATCCATGATACCTGCGAACAAAGTCACTTGGTAATTGT